ACATTTCATTTCTAAGTTAGGCTACCATATAATTTATAATATTTTATAATGTAAATTTTCTACCTTGCCTTCATTATAGAAATAAGGTTTTAAACATTTAAATATCATATTAGAAAGAAGTATTCTTCCTGCTTTTGATGTACAAGAGGTCAGTGACTCTGTGTGGGGAGGTCACTGTCAAGAAGTGTAAGGTGTTGAGAGGGGCCTGTGGACTGAGGAAGGAGCAGATGCTTTGCTGAGCAGAGGAAGTCTAGACATTCATTCCACCATCTGTGTGTGTCTGTGTGTTAGAGACACGTGGATTTAAGTATATCCTCTATTCTAGCTGACTTATAGAGTTCTTCAAGGTAGCTAGGAGATGTGGGAATGGAGATAGGGCCGGCAGGATCGCCAAGAATGACAGCATCTAGTGACTGCCAAAGCAAACACACACACACACACACCAAGTCTGTAACACAGGTATCAGAATTGGGTGCTATTGAGCCCACAGATATATGGGCATAATTATGCCAGCATCCTCAAAGCTACCTACGTAAAATTACATAGTCTTTGCCAAGTTTCATTTGCTGTAGCTATATTTGCCTCTCTTGAATTTTCTTCAGTACTTAAACACTTTTTTTTGGCCAAAGGTGAATAAAACAATGTAGCAGTCGAATATAAATTGCAAATACACACACACACAGCACACACAGCTTTTTGTTTTCCTTCTGTAACTGCACACAAGTGAGAAAACCGTGGATTAAAGGACACACAGATGAAGTATCTCTTGATTCCTTTCTTCGCGGTTCTTCTCTCTCATGACTCTCAGAGGAAAAGTCCACAGACATTTTCAGTGTTTTTTTTTACATTTCCAGACACATGAATAGGTGTGACTGATACATAAGGACAATATGGATGAGCTGAGTTAAGAGAGGGGTTTGACTTGGTAACTCTATTCCTGGTATACACATGTGCATAGGTCAGATCTCAGAGTGACCCCAGCACTCTCACTTCTACCCTACAAAGAAAGCACATCCTAGAGAGGATTCCTTTCGTGATGGGTTGGAGAAGCCAGAAGTGGTCTCAGCTTTTTCCTTCAAAGAGGAGGAAACAGAGAGATAAGAGGGAAAGGGGGCTGAAATGAGGAGTCTCTGGGTGAAAGGAGAAGGGCTTCGTCTACTGCTCCACGGGGAGTTGCTTTGGAAAATAGCTGACCTGCTTAGCGACATTTACTAAACTTGCTCTGGGTAGTTGATGAAATAATTTCCTCATCGCCACTAAACCCTCTGTTAAGTCCACATTACTCAACATGCTTTCATAGCTGAACTTGCTATTTTGAGGCAACACGGTTAAGTGTTGAGTCACCCCTAAGTGAATGAGGGCAAACAGAGTTTGCTCAAAGGGTCCAGACACGTTTAGTCTGCACTCTGACACAGAAGCATACTATTTTTAATGTATTCTACTTGATGTCAAAAGTAAACTTGTGTAGAAGGGCAGGTAGTAGAGAGGAGAGTGGTAGGTATTATGAAATAGACTTGATGAGCAAAAAGGAAGGTGGGCAGTGAGGGAAAGGGCAGACATTAGCATGAGGAGCAGCCCTGTGAAGGTGGATCTGTATGTATAAGTGAGTAAGTAAAGCTGCTCAGCTGTGTCCGACTCTTTGCGACCCCATGGACGGTAGCCTACCAGGCTCCTCTGTCTATGGAATTTTCCAGGCAAGACTACTGGAGTGGGTTGACATTTCCTTCTCCAATATGTATGTATATTGGGATGTATATTTTCCATATGGGCTTCCCAGGTGGTGCTGGTGGTAAAGAACCTGCCTGTCTGCCAATGCAGGAGTAGTCAAGAGATGTGGGTTCAATTCCTGGTTTGGGAAGATCCCCTGGAGGAGGGCATGACAATCCACTGTAGTACTCTTGCCTGGAGAATTTCATGAACAGAGTAGACATTAGGGTCTCAAAGAGTTGGACACAACTGAAGCTACTTAGCATGCATGCATGCATATATTCCATACATAATTCTAGAAGTATTATAAATGCATTGAGTCCATCAAAGAAGAAATGGAGTGACATTACAAAATAAGAAATTAAAGAGGAAACAAATTATTACACAGATGTTGGACTGAACCATATCTGAGAATAATCAGAATAAAAACTAAGAGGTGATACTTTTGATTATTAAATATACAGAAATTTCTTCCTGTATTGTGCCACTTGATAGACACTACCCATTTAACCTGAAATATTGGGGAATTCAGTGAATGGTGCCATGGTGGGAAGTCGAGCCAGCTAGTACCTAGATCCCTGGTGGATCACATTCAACAAGCCTTGCTATCAGTTCAGAAACACAGCTGGGAAGGAATTAGAGATTTCCAGGTGACTAGGCAGCTGATTCTTAAGCACAGGTGAGTTCCTTCAAATAGGTTCATGAAGCATTACAAAGGTGTTGGTTGTAGCCAGACTTTTGGGCTTATTTACATGGTGATTTTGTTGTTTGACAGTAACTTGATCCTTTTCCTTCCCTCAGTTTTCATGATTTATTGAATGAGTCTCCAGAGGTTATATTTAGGACTCTCTGTGACATACTGCCTGCTGTCCCTGTCCACGGGCACTCTTGACCTCTAAAGCTTTGGTGTCCATTTCTGAGGGTTCATAGCTTCCTCTTATAGGAATTCTACCTCTTTAGAAGGTAAACATATTTTCCTATTCTAATTAACAGTTCCTCCCATCAGCATAATGACCCGAAGCATTTTATTTGAAATAGTAGTAAAGAGATGTTGACCCAGTTAAAATCTAAGCCCCTCTCAAATCATTTCATCTCTTAATTTTCTTCCATTTTCTATATATGCTATAGGTCATCTGAAAAAAAGAAATCAAACCAAGACATTTGCTAAGAAAATGAAATTACTTTATTCCAGAATTTTCAACTCTTCTGCTTCTTAGAATGACATCTCCTCTCAAAGTCCTCAGAAAAAATCTTTGATGTCTTTCTTTCAATTCCCACTTACAATCTTATTTCTTCTAGGTGTCCCTAATAATGGAAATGGGAGTGGGTGTTTACTTATACCAACCACATAGCAATCCTATTCCTAAAAGGACCTGTGGATGGGTGGAAAAGAGATGATGCATCTTGTTTGATGATTTGCCTTTTGAGAAGGAGTTTGCTGTGATTGATTCTTTTTTAAAATTTGTATTTATTTATTTATTTGTTGCTGTGCCTGGTCTTCACTGCTCTGAGGAGGCTTTCTCTATTTGCAGCAAGGAGGAGCTACTCTTCGTTGCGGTGTACGGCTTCTCGTTGCGGAGGCTTGTTGCAGAGCATGGGCTCTAGGCACGCAGGTTCAGTAGTTGTGGAGCAGGAGCTTAGCTGCCCAATGGCATGTGGAATCTTCACTAACCAGGGATCGAACCTGTGTTGCCTGTATTGGCAGACGGATTCGCAATAACTGGAGCACTAGAGAATCCCTGTGATAGCCTTGTATAAGTTGTTGATAAAAATTTAAATTTGTACTTCCTTTAAAGAAAGAAATATGCTAGTACATACCTAGAGTTTAAAAAAGACTCTGTTCTTCAATCCAGTAAATCTTCTGTTAATAACGTACACTAGGGCAAAGTTTAAACATACAGTGATTTGTCTGCAAAACACACAATGCCTCATTCTTTATAATAACAAAAAATGGGGACATGTGGGAACACACCGACTGACCAATGAAAGAAGAAAAATAGGCAGAGATGTCATAAAAGAATGCTACTTGGTCATGTTTCAAAGTATATGCAGTGGCATGGAAACTAATATAACAGAACTTTTAGTATAATATATTCTATCAACTGTCATTATGTTCTTAAAGTATATTACATATATTTGTAGAAAGGAAACATAAATAGAACTGGTTGCTAAAAGTGCTATCTCTATATTGTGAAAGCATGGGTAATTTTTTTTTTACCATGTGTTTCTTTATTTTATGTAAATAGGTATTACTTTTAAAACTGGAAAACTGATACTTTTTAAAAAGAATGAAATAACTCAGAGAGGAGACATTCTGTCCCCACTCAGGCTAAATCTATCACAGACATACTTTTTCTCCACACTGATATTCTGTCTTTTACGTCACACGCATCTGTGATGATAGCAAGAGGAATAGGGACTGGAGCCATAAAAACAGCTGCCACACACCCATGATCTTTGGGACTTACCAGGTGCCTCTAGTGTTAGAGAGCCTGCCTACCAGCGCAGGAAACTTAAGAGACGTGGCTTTGATCCCTGAGTTGGGAAGATCTCCTGAAGTAGGGAATGGTGACCCCCTCCAGTATTCTTGCCTGAGAGTCCCATGGACAGAGAAGCCTGGTGGGCTGCAGTCCGTAGGTTTGCAAAGAGTCGGACAAGACTGAAATGACTTAGCACAGCACAGCAGGGTAAAGCTTGAGAGGATGTTCATCAGTTCTTGAGACCATAGAGATAAGTAGTGACAAAGCTCACTAAATATACATAAAGGTCACAGTGTGAGAAATCATGTTGACTATAGACAAATACAAAGTCTTCTTTCCACTAGCTTTTGCTGAAGACTCCTCATTTTATCTATTTAGATTGAACCCAGAGTGGACTTGAGGTGTGTAGCGTGTCAAAGGAATGCCACGGTGACTTATTTGTCAGTTGCATTAAAAATATTGATTGATATTGTGCAGATTATATGGGCAGTTGGTTCATTTCTTGGTTTTTAATTGTTGTTAAATACCAATTTAATGGTATTACAATTTAATGGTATTAACAACCAATAATGTTTGTTAATTGATGAATATAAAGTAAATGTCAGGCTCAGGTAACAGAGAGGTGCTCTTGCCTTTACCAAGGACAACTGAGGAGAAATTCCGGTTCCCAAAGTGTTGCCTACGTTACTTAGATCAAATAGTTTCCAATATTCAGAATAACTGTAAGCTTTATGAAATAAAATTTTACCAACACCTGATCAGTGTGGGATTCATTTACTTACATATTGAAATAGGGACATGATAGCCAAAACATGCGAACTATTGCCCCAAACATCCTCTCCTGGAGGCTAGAGGATTATAAATTACTGAGGCTTCCCCAGTAAGGGATTTGGAGAAAATGAGACAAGGGAAATCAGAATTATATTTCAGCTGTCATCCTAGATTATTCCCTGAGGATACCATCTTAATATACAGCTGTTACTTCAAATGCCAACCAAAGACTGGGGATTATTAAATGTTCAGATATTATTTGTTCAGAAACTGAACAGAAAACCTTATTTGACCTTAGAGGCATCTTTAAACTTGGAAGGTCTGGTCATCTCACCTATAATAGGTCAAAAAGGAGACATTTATAATGACAAGTAGAAACAGAGAGTAAAAAAGTATCACTTCAGTATGGAAAGGGGAAATCTGAGGATATTTGTGAACAAAGTGAATACTCTTGAGCAGCAATTCAGCAACATTTTCACAATTCCTGACCTAATTGTGTATGTTGCACCCTTGAAGCTTGAATAAAGGAAGTTTAGGACAATTACTTTGTACAGAAATACTACTATGCCTAATACATGATGCACTTCAGAACTAATCTGAAGACATGGTAAGGATAAGAATGGAAAAAATTCAAGCTCTGCTCAAGTATAAGCTGAGTTTTGTACATCATCATTTATGGTTGGTGTCATGTCCCCTCTCATCATAAACCTCTGACCCTCTGGGGCACATGCCCTGTGATCCCATGAACAAATCCCTATCGGACACTGTTTTTGTCCTGATATTCCTCTGTTGCTCAGCACATTCAATGACCTGCTCAGTGCAAATGTCTTAGTGATGACAAAGAATATTAATCGTATAGAGAAATCACCCCCTTGTTCTTAGTCTATTATCACACTAATAATAACTGTTAAACTTTATTGCCACGTTATTGTCCCATGCTCTGTTCTCAGTGGATCTGATACAGCTCATCGAATTTGGATACGAACCCAACAAAGTGGTACTATTCAGATGCCCATTCACAAGTGAAGAATCTGATTCACAGATACACAAATTAACTTTCTCAGAGTCTCACAGTAGCTTGGTGATAGAATCAGAATTTAGACTCCAGCAGTCTGGCTCCAGCCCCTAACCCTTATACATTTCTGCCACTATGTGGACTGAAAGGGGACATAATTAATGTCTGAGAAACACTTAGCAATATCCTTTCACTTGCTAGCCTGGTGATGCTGACCATTTTTATCTTTGGAGCCAAAGCTGACATACCCTATTCTATACTGCTTTCGCCTAGGCTTAGGAAAAGGGAAATGACAGATGACTGAATGGAAAAGGATGAAGTCTTTTGGTTTAAATCCTAATAGTTTTACTTACCTGGTTTAGCCCAGGTTGGTACATCTTACTTGCTTCACCAAGGCTAGGAGTCTCTGTAGACTCCTACCAAAACTCCATGTTTGGTAGATTCAGAGGTGGTCCTTCATATGTGACTAGCTGGCCAAATGTATAAACAGAAGACACATCAGGAGAGGATAACTTAGGAGTAGAAGCACTTTGAAAATGATGCCAGGAAAAAAAAAAAGCTTATCACCTGTCCCATGGAAAGGGAATGTGGGAAGTGAGGGTCTGGGAGAGCGTTGGTAGCTCTCCATTGAGCAGTGACGTGGCTATTCTTTCAGAGATGCCGGCTGTGTTTCAATTTTCTAAGTGAGACCTCCAGACAGTATGTTGTTTATCAAATGGGGGCAACCAGTATGAAACCAGGCATGTATAGGTGTTCACACAGGAAGCCGTGTTACTCCTGCCTGTTCTCATAGGCACTCTCTGGCAAAAGCATGTGCACATGCATACACACACACATACACACACACACGTACTTTGTCTATGCATTTAAGCATTTCATTCCTGGCCATTTATAAGAAAAGTGGCTCCCTCTCTCATAGCTTACTAATGTGATACTTTTTCCTCTCTTTCTTTTATTTTAATCACAGCAGAATCTAAGAAGAAGAAAAAGGAAGGCAAGAAACAGGAGAAGATGCTGGATTAAAAGCCGCCAGCTCCCGTGGACCACGAAAAGGACATCAGCAAACAGGATCAGTTAACTATTGCATTTATATCTACCGTAGGCTTTTTATTCAAAAATTATCTATAGCTTAAGTACACAATAGGCAGAAACAAAATGAAAAGAAAAATTTTGTAGTAGCATTTTTTTAAATGTATCAATATACCATAGTACCACTAGGGACTTATACTAGAGGACTGTAATCCTATTTAGAAAGTTGACTTATAGTACATGTTAAGTGATAGAAAACTGAGGTAAGTTTTTTGAAGTTATGTGATATTTTACATTAAATTTTTTTTTTTACATTTTTTTCTTTTGGCAGCAATTTAAATGTTATGACTATGTAAACTACTTCTCTTGTTAGGTAATTTTTTTCACCTAGACTTTTTTTCCCAATTGAGAAAAATATCTACTAAACAAAGCAGCAATAAAATATGATCATCCTATTTGAGGGAAATATCTTTTTTTCTGCCAGTGGATTTTTAAAAAGTTATAGTCAGTAAAATGAGGGGCGGGTGGTCACAGCATGTCCTAGTTCAATGTTGACTTCTTTTAAAAAGAGAAAGCATTATAACATGAAATTATTTCACTTTGGCAGAAATATTTGTTTTTTGATGAAATTATTTTTCCATTGGAGGAAAAAAAAAAGATGAGGAAAATAAATCAAGGTGATGCTGAAAAAAAGATGCTTTTGTGTGCAATAATTTGATATTGTAAGCCTTCTCTCTTTGTCACCTACATTGCCCCAGCTCATCTGTTAGCAGTGAGAAATGATCATACACACTAATTAAATCACTCTTGGGCACAAATGTTATAGAGGGTTTATACAGCTGTAGATGTAGGTCTATAACTATATTTTAAACTTTCTTCAGTATATAATAGGTTGGACTGGTGCTACCGAATTAAAGTTCCAAACTAGTCTAGGGTTTGGTGGAACGGAAAAATGCTCTTCTTCTATTGAGTAAGTTTGGACTTTGTTGTTGTTCAGTCGCTAAGTCATGTCTGATTCTTTGTGACCCCATGGACAGTAGCGCACCGGGCTCCTCTGTCCACTCTCTCCCAGAGTTTGCTCAGACTCATGTCTGTCAAGTCGGTGATGCTATCTAACCATCTCATCCTCTTCTCCTTTCCCAGCATCTTTCCCAGCATCAGGGTCTTTTCCAGTGAGTGGTCTCTTCACATCAGATGGCCAAAGTATTGGAGCTTCAGCTTCAGCAACCCTCCTTCCAGTGAATAATCAAGGCTGGGTTTGCATATTAATACCAGGCATAATGGTTGCTTGTTATTGGTTTCTATAAACCAATAATTCCTACTCTATTATCTACTGTATGAGTACCACAGACTATACATACAAGTAACTCGCTTATCTGCTGGGCTCTAAACACAGTTTTTAAGTAAATACAACTATGCTTCTATTATTCAGAGAAATAACACCTCAGAAGTCAGCTGGGGTTAGCCTCAAAGTATTTCTCTAGAAAAATCCACCTTTACTTTTAAAGGGATAAGACTCAATAAATAACACTTAGCTATCAAGATAACTCTAAGTCCACTTTCAGAAATGATGGTTTCAATACCTTTCAATAAATTAATTACAAACCAGGCTAATAATGCCGCCAAGGTGCCTTCAAAGTTGAAATATTTTTGCCATCTGGTCAAAGACTCCACTTGAGCTAGGAATGTTGGCAGGGTCCATATCTTCTCACTAAATCAAAGCCAACTGCCAGTGGGCAGTAGAAAAAGGAATGAACCTCTAGGCACATATGTGGAACAGTTTATAGACTGGTGCTTAATAAGAGCAGAGTACCTTGTAAAGTGCAAATGCAGAAACATGAATAGTGAATGCAGTTCTTTTACAGGTGAACCTTAATAGACGAAAAGTACTCATGGGAATGGATGGAGGAGATGAAAGGGAGGCATTATCCAGACTGGGTTTTGTTGACAGCAAAGACTCTGCAAGGAGAAGGATGGTGGAAAGGGCTGAAGAATGTTTTGTTAGCCTCTCAGCTAATATTGCTCCTCCATCATCATTTAGCCAAAATAGCAGCCCATGAATCAGTAATGAGCTGAGGTAAACTAAAACACAATCTCCCACAGGAAAAGCAGTCCTGTAAATAATCGTGGCATTCCCTCTTTTTTTACCCCAGGACATGGCAGGAAGCCAGGGGCTCTCTGCTGTATGAAGGGTGATTCTTAACACATCATACACTAACTCCCTGATTTTCTGTGAAGGTAAGGGTGCGGATGCTAATCTCCACTGCATAGAGTGTGAAATTAAACTTAAATTCTCAAGAATATTCCATCCCAGCCTCAGCTTTAAACAACTTGCTAAATCTCACTGAAGTATTGAAAACATAAATACAGAAGGACAGGCTCTGAAAATCACTGACTTGAAAAATAGAAAAAGAAAGACCATTTTCAGTATTTCGTGGAGTGCCCCAGCAAGCTCTCTCTTCCAATCATTCTGAGTTTTATGAACTTATTTATCCTAGTGTACTTTAAGCCTGGAGGAAGGAAAGAGAAATGGAAAGAAATCAGCTATGTTTCCTTAAGGGACCTTAGACTGAAGACAAGTTTTCTTCCAATTATCAAAAACAATCTTCCAGTTACCAAACGTGTCCTTATTCAATATGGTGACCATATCTTCACACTTGGATTTTGACAGGCTTTCTTATTTATCCTGATTGTATGAATCCTATCACACTATATTCCTAGAATGACATCATAATGTCTTGTTAACTCTGTAAGAATAGAACTCCAAATAGAATTTAATGCTCTAAATAGTTATCAAGTTCTACTAAATTGTGGAGGTATTGAAAAAAAAGAACTATATAAATCCATTTATGGGTCTTTGACCATAAGAAGCCTTATTTAAGAAAAGAAACACCACAGTCCTTTACCCACTGAGAAGACAGATTTCTTTAGGAATAAGAAAGAGATACACATATTTTCCTATAATATGTAACTCTTGGTTCCATATATCTGAAAGTCTGAAATTGTTTCATAACTTCTTTGGTTTCAGTGAAAAACAAAGGTAAATACGCTTTAGGAAACACCGAATGAGGCAATATAAAATACAATCTTTCACCAATTGAGTTATTTTAAAATAATTTCCAAACATAAAAATTCAAATTTTATCAACCTTCAGTTGTGGGATTCTCTAATGGAGTGAAACAAAGGGCTTCATTCCCATTAACCTTCTCCAGAAAATAATGCAACAGATCAGCATCCTTAGATGTGCAATATCGAAGCATTTGATCTCTCTCTCTTTTTTTCTAGCTTGCTTTTAATTTAATTAGTTTTAAGCCTTAAGCTTTTAAAAGTGAAATCAATCAGAAGGCACGAGTGTAGAGAATCATGTTCCAACACTTCTCATGTAAATTCAAATTTTAGATTCTTTGGAGTAAAACAGGCTCCTCACTGTCTACAAGCTTATTTCTGAGTTACAAAATTTCTCTCCATGTTTTTCCCTATCTTATCATGTTTTCCTCCTGCATTCTTCTACTCAATCTGGGCTGCCAGAGGACACTTTTTTCTTGCATCTGGAAATTTAAGCAGCAGACAGCTTATTTAAGCAGACAGTAATGTCTCCAGGTCTGTCAAATAGATGTATTTTCAATCTTCCAGTACTTTCAAAGAAGACATAGAATCTTGGAATACATTTCCATAAAGGGTAAGGAGCATAATTTTATTCAGAGCATTTAGCCAGTAATACCTACCTTATACTTGTGTGGACTTTAATTCTCCTAGAAGTAAAATATATGGAACATTTTAATCAGAGAAAAACATGTCATGATCTTAGCAATCCATCCCCCTGACCAATGTTTCTCTTCTTCCCAGTCTTTCAAATTTCCAAACAAGGCACCAGAAGTAAAGTAAATGTTCAGTCCTATTAGGGTCACAAGTAAAATCATGTCATTCAAGAATATTTCAACACAAAGGCATGCAAACTGACTTGTGTTCCATTTTTTTTTTTTAATTTAAAAAGAAAATAAAGAACAATTAGCTCTCAATATCTAATTTCTGTGATATAATTTTTAAGGGACAAAACCTTGACCAGCAGAACATGGATGTAGTTATTATGTGTGTATATCCACTACAACTATAATATTACGTTGTTAGTGGGATTGGCTAAGGAGGTTATGTGCTCTTGCTCAGCCACTCAGTCGTGTCTGACTCTTTGTGACCCCATGGACTGCAGCCCATCAGCTCCTCTGTCCATGGGATTTTTCAGGCAAGAATACTACAGTGGGTTGCCATTTCCGCCTCCAGGAAATCTTCCTGACCCAGGGGTCAAACCCACGTCTCCTCTACTGCAGGCGGATTCGTTACTACTGAGCCCCTGGAGAAGCTTAAGGGGGTTATATATCTAGGTTATTGCAACTTATTTTCTTTTGTTCTTTGGAAATGTGCATGGAAGCCATACAATCTATGTTAGAGAATGACACATGGAAAGTCCTGACATCATGTAGTTAAGCTGGGAATGGAGGGATACCTCACAGAGTATACAGAGTATACACATGTAGTAACTGAATCCATATATGCAACTTGCTCTTAGTGGAGAGACAAAATAGTACATAAAATACATTAATCGCAACGAGTCATTTTTCTCCTGTCTTTTGGTTGTCAGATCCATCAAATATAGGAGAAAGAAATCTTCCAAGTATCTTAGTTTATGAGATTCTTGGAGAATTACTTGAATATCTCAGTTGCTATAAATGACCAACAGATTGAGATGCTTACAATAAATGATATAAATTTTATAGACTTCTAAGTCCAAAGTTGCATGCTTTTAAGGTGTTCATAGCTAATAAGTCAACTTCTCATCAGTTTCATTAGAGATATGCCAATCTGCTATCTTGCAGCAAGGAGGAAGAGAGAGTTATTAGGGGTCTATTCTGGGATGTGGTCAGGAAGAAAATGGGCAAGTTTTGTATAACTGTTTTGATCAAGAATTCCTGAAGTCTCTGAATTCCTTCCCTCCATATTAAGCTAAAAAATATCTGGCCATTTAAGGTCATTTTCTATTGGCACCATTTGGTTTATGAGTTAAATTTGTCAACTTAACCAATACTGGAAATTGAATTCAGACTCTGGTGAAGGCATCCTTATCAAGTAGCTTGATCATATTGAAAATGGAATTCCACGCTCCTAGGAAGTGCATTTCTAAAGCCCATTTGAACAAATTTTATTCTATGATAATTATATTGATTAACAGAGATTAATTCCTAAAAATCTTGTTGAATATATTTCCCCTTCCAAATTCTGATTATACATTTCATCCCATGGTCTCTGTTTAGTTTAAATTTATTAATTTATGCTTTCCTGCATACCAATTGTTTATTAAGTGCTCAGCACAGTTATTGGTAGCAGGGGTGCAGCAAAGAACAAAATGAGCCCCCCTCCACCCCAAACTCCTGTTTTCATGGAATTTACACTCTTGCTGGAAACTCAGACAATGAACACAGTGAAAAATGTTTTGGTTACATACCACTGCACAAAAAACCACCTAGTGGCTTAAAACAACAATGATTTTATCATCTCCTGCCTCTCCTGGTCTGCTGACTGGACTCATCTGGAGGGTGCTTTTGTTCCATGTGATGTTAGCTTGAAGGGCTGGGATGTCCAGTGTCCAATGCGGCTTCCTCCCATGCCTGACCTCTTAGTGGAAACAGCTGGAGAACCGGATTCAAGTGGGACACCGGAGGGCTGGGCCTCTCCGTTTCTGCATGTAGTCCACGGGCTCACTCTTTCCACAGGGTGTTGTCTGTCTCTACAGAGTCTACCCAGCAGAGTAACCAGTCTTTGCACGGGGTAGCACAGAGCCCTCCCAAGCACAAAGTCAGAAGTCAGCAAGCCCTCTGAAGGTTTAAGCCTGGAACTGGCTCAGCATCCTTTCTGCCAGATTCTCAAGGTTCAAATGAGTCTCAGAGCCGCCCAGATTCTCCAGGAGGGGGACTACCCAAGGGAGTGAATCCCGGGAGGCAGGGTTCACTGGGGGGCTATGTCTGGCAACAAAGGACACGAAAAAGTAAAATATATAGTAGACGGTGAGGTGGTTAAGTGCAACAGAGAAAAATGAAACCCCGAAGGGAAACATAATATTGGGCTAGTGTTGCAATTTTGAATATAACATCCAGAGGAAATCTCCAGGAGGAGGTGACATTCAAGCCCCCAAAAGTTGGAAGGAGGTGAGGGGACAAGTCAGGCAGGCATGGGAACTTCCCTGGAGGTCCAGTGGTTAGGAATCTGCCCCGCAGTGTGGGGGATGCAGGTTTGATCCCTGGTCGGGGAACTGGATTCCCACACGCTGTGGAGCAACTGGGCTCACGCGCTGCAACAACTGGTCCACGTGCCGTCCTCACTGGTAGGACAGCCTGACAGCAGGGACGGCAGCAAGGGCGGAGGGTGCAAAGCCCTGCAAAGCGAGCTCCCAGCACCCGAGCAAGAGCAGGGAGCCTGTGAGTGAAGAAAGCAAAGGGGAGAGGGCTAAGAGATCAGGAGGGTCAGGGGAGATGAGGTCAGCACCAGGCAGCTTTGGCGCCAGAGGATCCGCTTTATTTCTCCTATGGGGGACTCTGCTTCCTCCGTCAAGGAGGGGGAGGGCAGACCAGGAATGTTGGCAAGAGTGCCGGTGGCTCAGGTTTCTTCAGGCTTAAATGTTTACTCATATATCTGCTGCACCACTCATATCCCATTATTTCCCTCGAGATCTATGCAAGATACGTGGCAATATTCTCAATTGCCTTGATGTAACAAGCTGTACAGTCCATCTCTGAGTTTGCTTTTCATCAGTCTCAGCCCCTTGACAACTAGTAAAAAGATATGCATGGGGCATGGTGACAGGAAGACTCTGGATTTTAGTCCGTGCTTCCCAGTGAAAATGGTAACATTTGGGGTCACAGTTCCCTCAGTTTCATTTATCCAGAAACCGGATAAACAATCACAAAAGCCAACAGTTCCTAGAAGGTTCACCCACAGTGTTCCAGGCAGCCCCATCCATGACCTTATTTCCCAGCTCTCCTTTATGTATCAGGGACTTTAAATTTCCCTTATCAGAAATTTAATGTCAGTGCCATTGCTTTTTATGATATTTTAGCTTTGATTATTATTATGATGATCATATTTAGCTTTGATATTTTAGAATTGATTCCACATATACCAGTCATCTCGGGGTGGGGGAAGGTCTGTGCCCTTTTCTATACCTAACAGCCTCGCCTATGCTTCTGAGCTCATTTCTGCATCCTTCAGTGTTCTTTGGTTACAAGCAACAGAAACTGCTCTTCTTGAACTGAAGTGTGTGTGTGTGCACGCACAAAGCAATTCCTTGAGAGGATATTGAGTAGCTCAAAGAATTGAGTGGAAGAGCTTAAGGAAGTATAGGGGATCAGAGGAACATTGCGATAAAGACACAGACACCTAAGAATTCCTCACATGCCTCCGTTCCAATCACTTTTGGTCCCTCTCTGGCCCTGCATCCTTGGGATGTGCCTCCAGGGGAGGAACCTAGGGGTGGCCTCACAAGGGCCACGTGGCTCTTCTCTTGTCAAAAGTCCATAGTCTTCTGATTGGCAGCCCACCAAAATCACATGGAGATGAAGTTGAGAAAGTCTTCAAAGAAGGACACACTTGTCAGAAATAAAGAGAAAATATTTTTAAAAAGAAGCATTCAAAGAATAAGTATTCTAGTTATTTATTTTAATGTCTTTTAAATCAAAAATAAAGCATACTAGGAAATGAGCATTGACATCAGTTGGAACCATATTGCACAGAAATTTGAATGAAAAGAAAAGGAGCTTGTTAGGTGACAAAGAGTTGTTGGCATTTTTTAGTAGAAGACTGAAGTGAGAAACAGTGTTTACACTTGAAGAATTTTAGTCTGTCGCCTGGAAG